ATTGAGAACAGCAGTACGTAATGTCGGAGGTACGATAATGCGATCGTTGTAGCACAAGACACCATCACACGTCACAGAAATTTCCTCACGACGTTTATAGAATTCCGGAAATCGACGCTTGATATCACCTCGCCAACCTCGACGGACACAGGAAATGATAGCGTGGTAATATTTCCTGGTCTCGCGAACTAGATCAGATCGGCTTACCGGGAGCGGTTGAGTGAGTAGACAATCACCCGTAGAAGCCTCCTATGAAATGGCATAGCGTGATAGATAGTCTGCATGTGGAATGGACTACGCACTGCGATGATGGATATCGTAGGATATCGTAGGCGGATAACGCAATACTCCATCGCTGTACCATGGTTGCAGATGACTTAGCCAGGGAACGTTGAGGGTTGTAAATGAACTGCAGGGCTTCATGATCACTCACAATAGTGAAATGAGTACCATAAAGATACTTGTGCATACGCATGATAGTCCAATAGACAGCTAGAGCTTTTCGTTGAGTTTGGGAATGCCCCCGTTCGGCAGCCGTGAGTCTGCGTGAGATGCACAGCACCGGACGACCATTCTGTTCCAAAACAGCTCCAATTCCAACGGGCGATGCGTCCGTGATGACGGTAGAATGTACTCGTGGGGAGAAAGGACGTAAAACAGCACTGGTAGATAAAAAGGAAAGTAAATTCCTCAAGGCACGTTCATGGACCGAAGTCCACCGAAATGTTTGCTGTGACTGTAAATCAAACAATGGAGCAGCTTGGGTTGAAAAGTTAGGGATAAACTTGGAATAGTATTGTAAACAACCAATTAAAGAACGAAGTTCATGGAATGACTTGGGAGATGGAGCATTAGTCAACGAAGAAAATCTATTAGGGTCAGGACGAAATCCGGATTCATCATCCAAATAACCTAAACAAGAAAGTTTAGTCATAGCAAAGGTACATTTATCAGGGTTAACAGAAACATTATGAGAACGGAATCTTTCAAGCAAAGCACTCAAACGTTTGTCATATAAGCGTCTGCTGGGCGCATGCACAATAATATCGTCCTGATAGGCACATACACCAGAAATGATGGAATTATTGGTAGTCTGAAAAATAGCAGGAGAGACACTGAGTCCAAACGGTAGAAAGTTGTAGTGAAATAAACCAAAAGGTGTGTTAATAGTCGTGAGTTCGCGGGGCTTTTTATCAAGTGGAACTTGAAGAAATGCATCTTTCAAGTCTAGACTAGATAAACATTTGATACCACCCTTTGCCTTGGAACATTCAAGTACTAAATGACAAAGGCGTGATTGATGGGAGTCAGACATGAATGAAAATGACAGATACATTCGAGTCATACAATTCAAACCAATTATCGAAATGTCGGAATCAATAACCAAAAACGGACAGCGAAAGGTTTGTGATTTATCGTCTTTAAGAAGCAGTTCGCATAATCCTAAGACGGGTAAAATATGACCGGTAATTCCCTTAACTGAAATGTCTGTTGGATAAAGTGCAACTGGGGGTTTAATTGACGAAGTACCTTGTTGGAAATGAAAGAATCAACACTGCCGTTGTCCATAATGAATGTATGGTGAATGGAGTCATTAATGATGAAGTCGCGAGTAATATGGCGAGAGGGACGTGAACTGGTACTGGCTAGAGTTAAGGACTGTAAATCACACAATAAATCTTTAGAGGAATGGACAGTCGTACGTTTGGTAAGACACGACTTCGCACTTTTACAGACAGATTGGATATGGCCAAGATTACCGCAATTGTGACACTTGGCACTTC